ATGTCACAAATAGATATGTGCCTTTGTTTCATGATCTGCTTAACAATAGCGAAATGATGGCCATTTTAAGGCCGAAAATGCATCAAAATCACGTATTTTCACAATTCCAGAACCGGATCTCAGTCATGCATGGATGGATTTTGTTCAGATTTAGCACAATGTGTTGTACATATGCAGGTGCATTTTGGTCATGATCTGCTTTGAATGTATATGTCACTCAAATATGAACGGAAGGGGACGTGTCATTGACAATGACTTGTTCCTTTTAGCTTGCCTATATAATTAGCAGCCAGTACGCTTGTTCCTCCATAGCTCAGATGAACACCATCTCTCTGGAATAAACTGCGAGAATTGGACAACTTATGATGATATAGGTATTCTACTTTGTGTTCTTGATCACAATATGACTCTATGTGACTGTTTTTTAAATGTATTCGTTCATTTACTTCATGGCTATTGCCACGTGGTAGAATAGAAGATACAATAATGAGAGCTGCTGGATGCATTTTCTTTGCTTTGGTGATTGGTGCCTTCAAGTCTCCAACTACATCATCGACCTCATTGTTTACAGCATCATTACTGCCTTCATGTAACATGACAAATGAAGTTTTGTCCGATTTAGTTTTATCCATTATTCTGGAAGCATCACTTACATAAGTTGCTCTGTATTTTAGTGCTTGTTTTGAAGGAAGCAACCTCTCTGGGATGATATCCTGAATCAGAGAATTACCAACAATAATAATGTTAGGTTCCTCCCTTTTGGTTTCTTTCTTATCACCAGCATTATCAGTAATGGATTTATCAGATAAGTTTTCAGTATTGCTGTTGGTATTAGTACTATCAATATTAGTTAGTACACAACCAATATCTACCTCTCTGTCTTTGGTATGTTCATGGATGTCTTCAAGATCATGTAAAACTTCATAATTATTTTCTAGCGAAATTGGGATTGCACTAGTAGCTTTAGGTTGTTTGCATACTTTTGTAGCTAGTTGCAACTGGTCATCTTCAGAATCTAGTGTTTTAACTTTATCCTGAAAGTTACGCAAGTCATCTTTCACACAAAGAAGCCTCAGCTGTAGCTGATTCACATTTGGCTTGCAAATCTTCATTCAACTGCTGGTCTTTTTATGATTTCTGACAATTCTAGAAGTTGAGAATCATACATACTGTCTTTGTCATCCAGTTGTTGACACACATCAGCCAACCTTGACTCAGCTGGTGTATTTCCTTTTCATATGATGATTGTAAGTCCTTTGTTATCTTGTCATACTTTACTGACATGTTGTCTAGTATACTCTGCAACTCACTAATTCTGTCATTGTTAGTAGTCAATTTATTGATATCTTCAAAAAACTGGGAGTATTTATTATCCATATCATGGATACAGTTCTTTACAGCTGCTACTTTAGATTCAAATCTACTGAGAGTATCTGCAGTATGTCTATACTGATCTGTCATTATTTTTGTCACAGAGGGTGCTTTTCTGAGAGAGGGTGAATTGAGCACTACAGACATTAGGGAATCTTTAACAACATCATTTAATTTCTTTAGATCTGTGTCACTATCATCTGATGATGAACAATTTGACTTACAGTGAACTTGAAGGTCATCAAGCACATGGTTTACATCTGTTATCATTGTTCTTATTACAGTGGGTTGTTTACTTAATTCATCAACTTTACTTTGCAGTTCAGGAAATGCTTCATTCTTCCATTGAATAAATCCCCTAGATTGTACCAAAACAACCCCACTGTTGTATAGATTTATAGACAGGATTTGTTCATCATCTCCATCAGGTAATATGTCAGTAATTGACATTCTACCTACTTCACAGTTAGATCCCTCTTCGCATTTAACGACTACTCCGTTCTGCTTTACATATGTTGTGTCATATTTTCCCTTCAAAGCCTTCATCCAACACATTAAATGGTCTTTAGTAGTCTTAAATTTAATGTTGCATGGAACTTGCTCACCTTTGTCATTTCTATAATCAGTGAAGATCTCTTCATTTGCAGGGATATTCTTAACACTGATATTTCCTGTCTTATTGTTGACTTTCCTGTCCTTTGTTGTTGTTGTGACCTTGGTCTTTACTTCCATGTCATATACAAAGGCTGGGTCCACATTAGGTTTGGACACTCTTTTCCCTTCTTCTTCTAAAGTTGACATCTTCTGTCTTCTTTGAGAGAGTCACTTAGTATTAACAAAACAGTAGATCCTAATTTTATAGGTAGTGATCACCACTTTGGGGAGAAACAACACCGATACTTGGGAGCCCTGTTAAGTGTGTACATTCAACATGGCGGCCATTATTATTAAAGTAAAGGATTATGAGTATCGCCATACTTTCTATTCACTAAAACTACCGGCTTTTATCACCTTTTCCGCCCAATTTTCCCCCTCATTTCTCTGCCAAATCAGTAGCCTTCCTCTTGAATCTACTACTACACACGTCATGCTCCTGTACTTACTGATATGTACCTTCATATTAGCCCCATTATGAGGTTTCATGGGTATTCTGTCTGCTTGTTGGATTTTAGTTTTTATTCTAATGAAGCTCTCTGTTTCACAAATATATTTTTGTACTGCTTTCCAGATAGCCTGACAAAATCGCGTGAGTTGCACCCTCCGCGGTGCTCAAAACCCAACACACCTGCTAGAACGATGTAGTTTTTTACTACCCAGACGATTTGTTGTCGGTACCATTCAAATTGTAGGAACATCAGCTCCATGGTCAAATAGTAACAGCCATAAAACAGTAACCATTCATGGCACAGTTTATTTGTTGGCATAATGTGTGATAAGGTGCTGGCAAATTTTTGCTGGCCCAATGTTTATAATCTTATTGAAAACATTGATTTTTGCCGACAATGCAAAGACGGCTTTGTCTCTCTGGTTACGAGTGGGCGTCTCACAGGAAAGACACAGTCTGTTGTAGCATGACAAGATTGCAAGAAGGCGTGAACTTTGCGATTCGTTGTTTTGATCTTGACGACAAGACATACACTATTCTGTCAGGCGTTAATGGGGTCTGATGATGTTTGGCCGGCGAGGGCGCCACTCACGTCTACATATCAGGCTAATTTTTAGATAGCAAGATTTCCGATGCTCCTGTATCTATAAAAATAACCTTTTACCTACACATTAACTAGTAAGCACATATTGCATGGCCATGAGGGCGCTAATATACGTCTATTTCCCCGAGGAGTTGTTGGGTACCAACAATATCTGCTATTTCACGAGGCCGCAGCTCCTCGGGGAAATAGACGTATACTAGTGCCCTAATTAGGTCATGCAATATGTGTTTTATAACACATTACACGTAGAATTGCCGGAGAAACGTGCATAGATCGTCTGTCGTCTTCTTCTCGACGTCTGCTAGCGGTGTCTCGATTTCTTCACAAAACGATGTAAAGATGCTTCTAGAAAACCTGATTGCGTCCATTGTCTTCGGTGCATCTTTATTTTCTACTAGTGTGTTAAGTTCTTCTTCTGAACTGAAGCTAAATCGTCCAGTCTTTCGAGGCGGACCATCGATATCAGCGACCGAACTAGCAGACGACATATTGGAAATCACACGATCAGGTGACGAGTGACGTCATGCCCGGGCACTAGTTGATGTACTAGTCTCCCTAGGGAACTAGTAATTTCCCTGGCGCCACTATGGTAATTTAACCGATAACACGTGATCCTGTTTTGACCAATTACAGTACAGTATTAACGAGTGATGTGTTATAATGAAAAATATATCACGTTTTGCTCGAGTGGTATCATGTATGATTTACTCTTTTCCTCTGTTTTCGTCTCTGTTTTGTGCATAGTCTATCCATGTGACAACTCTTCCCCTGCATCCAAACCATATTTACCTTAGTTGAAGTAGTCTGACCCAACCTGCATTCCAGAACCAGCCCTGGCCCCTGGGTTGGTCTTATTTTTTTGCCGCACATTTGACTGCCGGTATAGGGCAGTTTTTTAAAGGTTTCGTGACTATGCCATTCAGTTCCACAATCAGTGCGTCTCATTCTGCTTACCTGCCTTAATGATCCACTCAGGTTTTTGTCAGATCTTGGACCATCGAATGAAAAGTTGTTGGATTTGCTCTAGTTATACCATCTCTATCTCAGGGACCATATTCCCAAAATACTGCCTTTCAATCGTTCCTGCGAATTGGTGTTCATATTCATATATTTGTTAATATTTCTAGAGCCCTACCCAACGTCGGCAAAATCTCATCTATCTTTCGCCGTCTTCCTCGCCCACTGGTAGCTGCCTGTCACCTGGGACCATATTTCATGTTAATTCCCTACTAACTTTTCTGTATGTTTTCGTTTCACTACCCGCTTCCCCGGTGAAATTCAGTGACTCAATGACACAACTTGAATGCGTTTATATCCAGTAAAAAGTTGGTAAGTAATCACAAGTAAGCCTTATATTTAGCTGGGTCTACATCAGTTTTCAAATATATAATTACATGTGAAGTTGTCTCGAAGTAGCATAATTACTATTTTGCATTACACTCAGAAACCTTGGATTTGGGAACAACAACATATTCAACAAAACTGAAAACCACGCAACATGACTATCATGTGGAAAATATGTCTGTCATGTTATGGATTACACGCTTTTGAATACATTATAACATGGTAAAATATAAATTCAATCTTTAATATTAGCTTTCATGATTAAATCGGTAGAATTCGAATTTCCATCACCAGATCTGTCATCACCTTTCCATTGAAAAATGACAATTTTAATATTACGGTTGGAAGTTGTTTTGCTATTGTATTGTTGATTTAATTGAAAAGTGTGAAATATCCAAAGATCAACATTGATCATTTCTCCTCAAATAGGGTAATATAGTCTCCGCTAATTAACAAAGTTTTACCATCTATTGTTTTATGCATTGTTCTGATTATAGTTGGTACCGTTCAGTGTATAGTTTAACATTACATGATAGTAACTGTATTAGAAATAATGTTGATAAGATTAATTGGCTTTTATCCTTCTACTAATTCGGGGCATATATAGGAAAACATAAGCTGTACCTCTTGTTCGATTACATATTGAGACATGTGGACATTAGGCTTAGAAAAATGCGATAGACACATATCCCAAACTCCGAGAAAATGTACGCCTATGCCACTAAACACACTCCTTATCATACGATCCATGTCGTAGAATACCCAGTTACTACTGTGTAAACACTGATTTCCATTGACATTATCTCGAGCATGCGCGGACTTGAATATAACTACTGCTGTTGGACATCGCTTCAACAATCTTTGAACCGCAAATTTGGTTACAAACAGTCTGTCGATGTAGGAACGAAGTGACCAAGATGCATAATGAAACATTATATTCATCATTACCACATACTTTTTAGACGCACAATGCTCCTTAGTAATTCTGTCCAGGAATTCACTTTCAAAGGTAAAGTCCCAAAAATAAACTGGATTAGGCCCTACTGAAAAAAATCCTTTGCCTGAAATTATATCTGTGTGATTGTGGAACCAATTAAGTCGTTGTCTAATCTGAACGATGGTCGAGTCACCACATAATCGTATAGCCACGTTAGATAAGCATTTTCTAACCTGGACAGGAGTCCACTGTTGACTTTTGCATACTAATGAAACATATGTATTGTTATCTGACCAGTAACCATCGGAAATAGGAATCGGCAAGTCTGGGCCACATGGTGGAAGAGATGGTAACTTGAAAGATGAATCTAGAAGAAAATAAGCAATGATAATAATTAATTCCTTCTACTGGAAACATATATGATGAATAAACACTATATTTGGGCAAAGCAGCAAAAAAGGCTATCTATTGAGGTGAAAACAGTGTCTTTATTCTCTCCTGGTTTTTTCTTCTGCCTTTGAAGTCTACCAACCGATAGATTTCATCTCCACCAATTGCAAGATTATTCCAATTTCCCCTAGGTGGAAAGTATTCACAACTTAACTCACTAATATATATCACTAACTGTATCAACGTACGTTGTCAGGTGTAAAGTTTGCATTATCTGTAACACAATACAACAAGAGACGCTGGCACAGCAGACTTATGGTACAATTACAACAAGAACAATGTTATATACACCTGTTATTTTTATCGCCAGAGGAGTGCAGGCAAGTCGGGTTTGTTCTTTCCTAGACAGATAAAAAAAGAAGAATGTAACGGCACAATGACATAATCGTTTATATTGAGAGGAGGAATATTATTGATTACACAGAATCCTCCATGATTTGTACTGCAGTTTTTGGTAAGTAATGTGATGTACATGTATTTACTTACAAGACTACGTTTACAATATGAGATCGTAATATCAAACAAAGTTGAAATATAATTCAAACAGATATTAAACTAATGTGAAGTCGTGTCAACTTTAATCCATCTCATGATAGCCAATTTTACGGTTCATCGATTGAATACCTGCCACTAAAATTGCGATATTGACGACAGGCAACCATTGGAATAACCACGACACTCTTTATGAATGGGTAGTTATACTTTAACATACTTCCACGCAATGTTTGTGAATTGACATAATCGTAATCTAGTATAGAGTTGTTGATTAGCTATATAGTAATTCACCACTGTCCTATGAATATATTAAAACACATTGATGAAACTACAACATTCTTTATATCTATAATATATTACGTACCCTTTAAATAAGTGAGCAATTTTTCTCTTTTCCTGTTCTGCAACTTCTTCAAGAACAGCTATACCAGATGTAGCGTTCACAAGTTGTTGACAAGAAAAAGACTTCGGTTTATCACATATAAAAACAGTGCCGCCTAGTGAATTTTCATTTCCGTAAGTACATTTATCTGCCCACACTCCTTCACGAAGTAATGAACAAGCAGTAGTCTCTTTTTTGACACCATCGCCGAAATGACCCGTCCAGGGTATACGCTGTTCTTTTAGTCGTTCACTGTTGAAGTGTAGTATCAACTCTCTTGTGAACAACAAGTACACGGAAATATATGCATCTCCAGACCATGCAGCATAGAAATAGATAGAATATGTACCATTTCCATAGTCATATACTCTCCCTGCAGTGCTTTTCTGTAGCTGTGTATTTGACATGACAGCTTGGAACATATCTCCACCTTTGTTTCGTCTGTTGTCATATTTATCATATGTTTCTACGACTACATGTATATGATCGCCTTTTTTAAAGTGCAGTTCGTTTTCGTAAAAGTATGCCCTGCAAAACAATGAATAATTAAATAACGACATAGTACAAGGATATATTTCGTTATCAAAACAAGGATATATCTCGTTATCATTGAACATTGTCACACTTCAGAATAGAACTGTGGTAATTATTTACACTTTGTTTATATGTGTTTTATAGTCAAGTATGATGCAGTATATATTACATAATATGTATTTATATATGTTGTCTATTATGAGGCTACTTGCGATTATATGACGTATAGAATAATTTATGACATTAATTTATGTTTTATTATTTGTTTTACACTGATACCATATTAAGAAGTTTGATTTATTATGATGATTCTGTTTGATAACGGATTCTCATCAATCTATATTAACTGACGCAAAATAAAAAAAACTTAATAATATAACTCACCTACTTTTTTCCGTGGATGACATCCAAAAGGTTTCCTTACCAAGAATGAATGGCACACTGCTTTTCTTTTCTTCTGTTTTTAAATGACTATATGCATGTTCGTATTCCTCCACAATGCCCTTCCATTCAAGACCAAACCGTGTATATGCATCATATGGGTACATCAACTCGAGCTTTTGGGAAATTGGTAACTTTGTCTCCATTCTCTCATATAAAAGGGCAGAAAGGTACGTTTTCCCGGCGGGATTCATGGTCTGCTCCTCAATATATGAACTGCTTGTATTCCTTTTTTGCACATCATTTTTCTCATACAAAACTGGAACATACTGGACAGAGGTAACTGTTTTTGTATTGTTTGTGACATTGTCTGTAATCACTTTTCCAAGTCCTTGGGGTTCTGATGTACTATAGGATACATTGGTTCGTCTCATCACAAAGTTTGTCTCTGGTATATGACCAGTCTATTGATCAATAGATTAAATGGTTAGTTCATTCATTCAATAATTCATTAATTCAATAATTCAATAATTCAATAATTCATTCATTCATTCATTTATTCATTTCATAATGTGTCTAGATCACAGATCATGTTCTTTTTGTACTGATCAAGGCACATCTCTGAAAGGTAAGTGTAAAACATTATTTATACAAAGACAATACAATTTAATCACGTTACCAACTCTGTGAATAATCTATTAGTTCCGAATCCGATGATGAAAACTAGGACTAATCGGACCGATGAATACTTCGTGGTGAACATCATGCTTGGTGAGCTAAAGAGAAAGTGAAAACAAGAAACTGATAAATTGAAATGCTGGCGTTGGAATATTATTCCATGATTACATATATGGGGATTATGTTAAGTTAATATATCGCTGTTCAGACGTCATATAGTCTGCCAGACAAATTGCCGGGGTTGAAGATATCGATTGCAGTGCATTACTCAGATGTATATTATTATGTTATCAATGATATTCAGTATAAATGAAGGTTCCTGGTTCTTCGTGACCCTACCGTTCATTTTTATTTAGTTAGAATATATTGAATAATCACAATTAATAATTTGAGGCAATATTTATAGCTGAACAAAATTATTAATAACTAAAGAACACAAATGGTTTTAATATATTATACAATATTACACACTATGTAACTAGTGCGTCTCTCTAGACAAGATTTCATGCGTGTTTTGTATCGCTTTTATGAGATAATAAATGTCACATAAACTGTGCCTATTATGTAAAATATATCAATATAAAGTGTTAAGTTTTAGGTATAGCTTGCTAGGTATGCATGGTTAACAAACGTGTACTTTTCCTGTACTTTTCACAAACTGCTAACGAATAAAAACAGCTTTTATGCCACATTTATACCACGGGTTATCGGCTGTAAATTATTTTGTACACCTTGAACAAAGACTGATCATTGGGATATGATTTACGTTTTGTTGCTTTTTTTGGGGGGGTGGTGGTGCCGATATTAAGGCAGATATTTATGAGCCTGGGCACTTATATTCTGATACTGATATTAATACATATGTTGCATTCTCGCTTGAACGGCAGGCAACGTTGTACGTTTTATTTTAATTAGTTAAAAATTATGTGTTTTCCGCCTTTGATAAGCATATCTACGACACTGTGCACTGATAAAATAGAACTTTTTGTTATTCGGAGAAAAACAATATTTAAATATAACTAAGTAACGGTTGCCAGGGAGAGCGCCACCATTTTAAACCACGAATGAAAATGATATATGTATAGAACTAATGCTCCTATTATTACTCAAATCGAATACAGGTCTATTGCCTCCCTGTCGGATTCTGTATATGTGTATAATCTGTTCATGAAATCAACATTCGCAGGCGGACTATTTGGCAAGTATGAACGGCTGTAATGAAATCAAATAGCCAATTGAACCATGAGTTCATGGTTTCTGGAACAATAATAAAATTGTGCATGTTAATATTTCGCCTCAAAATAATGCCATACTGAAATACTGATTTTCAGTATTATGTAAAACTACATTTATTGTTATTCAATATCAATGGATATCGATTAAAGATCTACATTATAACGGTGATTTTCTGTGAGTTTGTCTATTCAAAAAATTAATTGGTTGTATCTGTCTAATTAACTTGTTTCAATACTTACCTGAAATAGCTGTTTCTCGCCTGAAATGTTGAAAGAAATCCTGGTCAATGAGGTATCCCAATAAAAATATGCACTCAGTTTGTAAAATCAGGTGGTGCAATGGGTACGTGTTCGAAGCCTGTGCTAGGACGCGACCATAATGCAGAGAGGTAGGGGAGCTTTATTATTACTCATACAGAGGTTTCTATGTTCATAAGTAAAAGCGAATAGATATTACGTAAGTATTTGGTATATCCACAGACAGTAGACAACGTATTGTTTTCTGGTGTATAATTCAGATCATTTATTCACAAGTGGTATATAATACAACGAATTTAAACGTTGATTATAATCACATCATATATTTGCTATGATATATAATAATCAATCAAAGGTGCTGTCTTTTGATTTTTTAATTCGTTGTATTCTGAAACAACAAAAAACGTGTCTTTTGATGAGAAATACAGTCCTATCTTACTAGCAATGTTGCAACAACAGTTCATAACTACTACAACTATTTTATTTATGCTCAAAGTTTTTAAAAGAACAATTTAAGTCCCATAGTTGTCACGCATCATAACAACTGTTCGTTCACACAGAAGGTTTGATTTGGTAGTAATGCATGATTTATGCAAGTTACGTCCTACAGTGTTGGTAGTGGCATTTAACAAATTGAACAATGATGAACCTCATTTTTTACCAATTTGTAATTACAATTTACTAATTTGTGTATTTATATAAAACACGATGAAATTGCGCATATGTGATTAATTATTTGAAAATGTGTATGAACGTTTGTTTTTTGTAGTATAACGTACATATGGAGTGTAGTTTATGTATTTATTAATATGAATATTATTTTCGTGACATACTATGTGTAATACTTTTACAATTACCATCTTATATATGTATAATTGTTTTCACACAAACTATTTGTATATGAAAACATAGTTAAATTATTGTATATAACAAATTACGAATTGTACTTATTTGTATATAAAGGAAACAACTAATTAAATTAAATGCAAAAAATAAAAGTTAAAAACAACAAAATTATATCCAGCATTGTTCTTATTGGCACATAATGTTCTGTGGTTATACAAATATCATGCTACTTGCACTGTATTCAGAATTTGTGTACGATAATCACACCTGGGATCGAATTTATTTACATATATGATTTTTTAACACAAAATAATTTACAGTTTATCAGGTATTTCCCACCTTCTATTATATGGCAATGAAAGCAAATAGACCATTTTCCGTTCACTGCGAGAATCACGCGTTATGCGTGAAATCGAATGTAAAAACAGGACAAACAAAGGTCATAGCGTCGTAGTGGCGTCAAACATCGCGTGGGATTCGACAAACGCGAAGTATTTTGGGGGATATTTCCATGCTTAATATTGTGCTGTCCACATTTGATGATAGGCAATTTTGATTAAGTAAGGGTATTCGGAAGCAATATTCCTCTGTCGAAGATCGGCCGGTCGATGTGAGTTACGAAATAAAGAAATTCGAGTTCAAAATCAAATCGTTCGATTTTTGCGGCAGACGTTCGACGCGCATTTTTCATACATCTCGCGAGATCTCACAATTGTACGGAAAATCCCCTATTCCGTGTTTTACTGGTGTATTTGGTTGTGCGTACCTTCTATTTTCGATTGCCAGTATATGGCAACTTAATCTGAATTTTTAAAACTGTATTCATCTTGTTTATTTATAAAGTGCTATTCGTACGTAAGTTTGCATTTTCATGTTCTGTTTCAAATTACACTACTTCTCCTTCTCGTAAAGTTTTGTTAATTGATGTTTTTGTTTCCGATGTTGTCAAATTGTTGAGTTCATGTTTATATAATTTTAAATTGTGTTCAAGAGTTTTGACTCTGCTTGCTTAGTTTTCACCATGTCTTTGTAAGCGTAGAATGCTAATTTATATTTATCTATTTCTTTGTGGTGTAAATAGTAGTTTATTGCTGAGCTGTTGCCTTTACCAATGAGAAGTTCTATATCGAGCACCATTCTACATCTTATTTTATTGGATTTGTTTTCTGTATTTAAAATCCTGCGACATTTGTTAGTCTCTGTTTTATCCCACGTCTTTTTTTAAATATATATTCCATATTTTAATATTGTATGTCAATATTTTATTATTTTATGTTGTGTATATTCTTAATTGTATCATTGCTACTACGTGAGCTTTATCAGCTAACATATCTGCTGTGAGTGTTATTGGGCCATGTGATTTAAAAATAACTTTGAAATAGGTTATTGTTCCTTAATCCTAATTAGTTTTTATAATATTTAAATTGTAAATGAAATTGACAGAACATACTTTGCTTTAGTACCACATAGACCCATTATAATAAATAAAATAGTAACCTAAATATAATCTAAATATAATTTGTTTTCCTTTTATTTTGCAAATAGTTTAAAAAATTATTTCTGTTATATTCAAATTATTATATTAGTAATTTCAAAATTATTATGTAGAAATAGTTTAATTGGTTACTTTGAATCTGAATGAAATCAGCGGAAAGGCTGAATTCACTTGTCGAGATTCATTCACTGACGAATGGAGAACGCCAGGATAGCCTATTACATTGCCAGTTGACAGTGAAACGGCCACACAGCACTGTCATGTTGCCCCTAAACGTGACTACTTGCAATTTGAACATTCAAAAAAAGTGAGGAGAACAGCAATGACGACATTGTTCGTAACTGTCGGTTGACACAAAAATATATTAAAAATAAAAATAATAATTTGTTTGAAAAGGAGATGTATAAATTGAAAACGTAATTTTATTATAATAGTATACCATATAAACACATCATAGACACATGCATATGATGTGTTTTGCAGCAGCTGTCCTAACATCTGTAAGAAGCTAATTGTGAATCGATGCACGTTTCCCATTGTATCCAGCATAAATTTATTTTGTACTGTCCTCAGTGAATATGACACATTAACATATCAGTTGCTATTATTCTGGCCGTGTTTTGTTGAGTCAATTCAAGTCCGATCATGCATTTCAACATTTGTTGATGAACAAAATATTTTACTCACTTATTTGTGTGTTCTTGTGCTTCAATCTATCTTGTATTGTACTATAAATTCGTTATTTATTTACATTTTTGGAGACCATCTTTCATTTGTGACTAAAATAGACATTTTTCAGGAGTATCAAATTTTACGCCGTAAATAAGGAAGCAAATAGTAAGTGTGGGGTCAAATTACATATTTTGTTACACTAAATACTTCGTACACCATAACATGATGTTTGATATTACGATTTTAAATATGACAAAAAGGGAAGGAGCTGTTATGTTATTATATTTTTAACAGATATGCTGATTAATTTTCACGGCAGTAGATAAATTGTATTGGCTATAACCATGGAAGCTACTAACGGAAGAAGCCACGACGCCTCTCAAGTGGCCACTTAAGCCTCTTAACTGGCTTATTTCCTTTTGTTTCAACCTCGGTGTTTTAGGTGTGAAAGGTCAAATTACGCATTTCACAACCGAAAATTCAACAGATGAACGTTTGATTTCACAGATTTTATTATTAGTAACAATATTTCGAGCGTCTACAACTTCTATATTATTGCAGAGAACGTGTCTAGGCGTGCCCTTCTTTCGACACAATCTTTTCTGGTGGTGTTCGCCAACGCCCAGTGGTCGAAAATTTTTGAGCGTCAAACCCACGCACTGACGATGGTACCATTGAATAAAACAATCGTTATTGTCACAGGCAATCATTGATTCCGTCTCATCACCATTGCAAAGGCAAAAAGATTCACGATAGTTCATCAGTTCAATCGATGTTATATCTGCCAAACTTTCATTAAAATTCGCCAAGATCTCCGGAGGCAACAACATTCCAAATAGACGTCATTTTCAATCTTGTGCATGCGCAGTTCGTCTATTGCTACCGAACATGCTCGGAATATTACCGAATGCTCGAGCTTAGCGTAACACATTGTAAGAAGTGCCAAGAGCTAGCAAGTATTACCATTGTTTGTGAACAAACATTGACAAACGATCATAGGGTAAAGCTAAAACAATAGTTCCGTGGCTCCTTATGTTAGTACCTTCCATGGCATAACATACCACGTGACCAATTAGTGTACTGATAGATACGTGAATCTCAATACAGTTTGTACTTATTTCAGTTACTATAGTAATGTGTGGAATGCCATAAATATACAAATCAATGAACATGCAAGCATTATGATATCACGCTACAATAAAATCACAAGAAAAGCAGGACTATTTCACACGTTGAACCGACTTCTTTTTGATGAATGATATGTAGTTACCTTACACGGATCTATGTCATGCTCATTTCTAGACGATATCATTAACCCTTACTTTTTAACAAATCTATTTGTAATGTTTGGTATAACGTGATATTTCTGACTTATCTTTAAAACCACAAATCTGATTGCATTGAGATTAAATATATACGTACCTCGGGCTGATGTCTCTCGATTTATTAATTTTGTGACAATATCAATTATATAATTTTAATGAATATTTATGTCATTTTTTTACCAGTTCTTGAACATTGTGTGTGTCGCAGTGTAATGCCTTGTGTCAGTAGTGGGATTGTGATTCTGATTTTGGATTCTATTGTCAGTAATCCCCTGACTAAATTGACTGTTTCGGTAACTGCTCAGGTATAGAGAACGCGGTGTTGTCAGACCAGCGTGTACTGCTTGGTGGACATTAAATTTATTTATTTAATACTACTGAAACTTGATTTACACCTTTTCAAGCATGTATATTGTTAAAGATCTTAAAGAGTTAGTTAGAAAATTGGGGTATGAGGGGGAGAGCTGACTCAATTTATGAGGACAGAGCGTGAGAAGAGAGAGCGAGAGAGAAAGAGTGTGATGAGAGCAGCCAAACGTGAGGCTGAAAGGTTGAGAATTGAACATGAGGCAATGGAGAAAGAGAAAATAAGACAGCATAAACATGAAGTGTTAGAATAGTTAGCACAGTCTATTGTTAGTTCTAAGGGTCCAAAGCTATCATTGTTTGATGAGATTAGGGACGAGATGAACACATTTATTTGAGCGATTTGCTGCAACTCAGAAATGGTCGCGTGATAGTTGGGTTATGAATCTTAATGCATTATTGACAGGCAAAGCTTTGTATGTGTTTTCTGCATTGCAATGCAATGTTGTAAAGGCAGCTTTGTTGAAGCGTTATTATATGAATGAAGAAGGTTATAGAAAGGAATTTCGAACGAGTAGGGCAGAAGGTGGCGAGCGCATTTCGCAATTTGCAGTTAGATTAAGTAGTTATTTTGACTGATGGGTAGAGCTGTCTGAAGTTGATAGGAGTTTTGATGGAGCTGAGGACTGAGATGAGAGATGAGAGATGAGAGACCAAATTATGAGTACTTTTGGTAATGAGTTGTCTATTTTCAGTTACAGAAATGGCTGAATTAGGTGATAAGTTTGGAGATGCACGTAGACAGGTGGTAAAAACCTGAATTCTAGCCAGTTTCAAGGTGGTAGTCAGAGAGGTAGAAGACAGGGTCGATTTGGTCAGTCTAAGTCAAAGTCCGGCTGTTATATTCACTCTGTCACTCTGCTGTCAGTTGTCCTAAGCGTTATAAAAGTTTCAAGCCTCGGGTTACGTCAGCTGCTATGTTGGCTTATGATTAAAATAGTAATGATTTGCAGGAAATCAGTGCTACTTGTGTAGTTCGTGAAATTACATATGCAAGTAGGCATCCATGTTTACGGGAACTACAGTGTAGTTCGGTTGTAGTACATAGAGAGCTGTTAGAGGATAGTCAATTGACTGGGGAGAGTCATACCTGGGTGATGATGAATGGTACATGTCGGAAAGCCCTAGTAGCTAGACTATATATAGATACACCCTTTTATGTTGGTGAGGTTAAGCCACTGTGTATGAGAACATCAGTGTATTGTAATGATAGCGACTTCACGTTTGCACATTCGACTCACACGTCGTTAGACTATTGTTTAGAATCAACAATTTGCATGTTTAGGGTTAAGATTATAAACATAGATTAGAGGAATTTGATAAATAAATTGTTTACTTGTTGTATTTAGTAGTGGCAACTTTGCAAGGCTTTTACCGTGAAACACATCCCTGTAATCATGTGAGCGTGCCAACGACTGCAGCGATTGGCTGGTCGCATGGTTACTCTGCCATGCCTTAGAGATTTCACTTTTAATATAGAGTCTGTAAACCTTTGTAAGAAGACTATAGGAGAGAATGGTGCAGCGAGGGGTTACTTCGACTGACTGCTTGTGTGGATAAAGCTGGACTATTTGTAATGAACGTATGTGTATTCATTTGCGCTGAATCTGATACCTCTACATGTAAGTGACATCAGCCAAGCTAGCCGAAGTTCCACAACGCAGTGTTCCTTACAGTATGATCTTATTATTGGTAATATTAGTGGAGTTAGGGAGGCCAAGGACACTGATATTTTTTGGAAGCTATGTTTAGCTTATGGGGTAGGGCATGGTAGGGTTAGTTCGCCCTCGGGTGATGAACATAGTACTCTTTCTAGTGATGAGACTAGTATGCCCTCTGGTGGTGAATGTTGTTGTTCTTAGGTAAGGAAGGTTGTACATTGACTAGTAGTGAGGCTAGTGTGCCCTATATTAATGAAGGTTTTCCCCAGGTATTGAGATAAGAGAGCCTTCAGTTAGTAGGATTGGTTGTGAACCCTCCATTGATTCCAGTCAGGATGATAGTGTTGCTGTTATACAGGTGATACAGACTAGGGCTCAAAAGTTAGCTGAGAAAAAGCCATCACGTAAGCTTATAATTCCAGAGTTGCATAGTAAGGTTGATACTAATATTGGTAAGAAACCTATTACTGTTGATGCAGTGCGAGAGGCACAGCAGTCTGATTCCACATTAGGAAGATAGTGAGTACAGGTGAAAAGTTGATCACAGCTCGTAACAATCGGGCAAGGTTTCTGATGAACAAGGAGCTGATGTATAGAGAGTTTTCATGTTGATACAGG